AAAAAAAGAGTTTTAGCCTTAAAGAGGCTAAATACACTGCAGCCGTTTAGGTCACTAATGGTTGCATTTTGGATGTTTGTAAACTGGAACAATTTCCAAACAGTTGTAGGATAATCCTCAGATTAGATCATTGTTACAATATGTAGCATGTAGTGATTTCAGAAAATCATAGCACAGGCAGGATTTATACCCTTCCTGCCATAAATGGAATGATTTCCTCCTTAACTGCAAGAATTACCACATAAATACAACACAGAATAGTTATGAGCTCTGATATATGATCAGTTGTAGTCTTGATTTACACATAGACTGAATACGCTAGGAATAGTGGGAAATGGATTTTTCCCAGGTCAGACCTCCAATGATGAACCCAGATTAGTTTTAATGACTCTATTCAAGTAAAAAATAAATAAATCCTAGCTAGAACTTGACTCAAACAAAAGAACCTATCATTTCCTTGATGTGCTAATTAGATAGAATCTCTTGCTTGCACACACAGAGGACACTGCTATTTTCCCAGCCCATGCACAATTGCACAGGCTGGAAAAGTGGTTCCCATTTCACGACCTGATGTGGCTGTTTATATAGAAAAAACTGTCAATTCAATTTCCTGAAAACTTTGCAGTTTCTGACAGTTAGAGCCTGAGGGAATTTACCAGCCGTGCTAAGTGAGATTCCAGATAAACAGTCCACACAGGAGGGTTACCAAGCCCATTGGCTGACTGTTGCCCCATTGCATCATTCATTTTGTAGGCACTTCATCTCCAAATAGATGCTGTTGCTCCAGGCTGCAATCCAGATAATAGCACTGGCCCATTGTTTTGGTTGGTTCCACTAACCAAAGAACATATATCACTGCACTTTATTTGTTCACAGTATTCTTAACACAGGCCTGTTCTGGGATTTCTGAGTAATTCAAATCGGTGGCATCCCTCAACTCTGGAGACCTGTGTAATCAGTGATACCATCAGAGAACACTCCTAGAAGTGGATCAGGGCAACTCAGATTATACTCTGCTGCAAGGGGTTGTTGTCAAAGTGAGAGCTAGCCTGCGACTAAATATACTATAGGTTAGAAAGCTTTGACTTGCCTGTCCTCAGAATTTTAACACCCCCCCCCCCCAAATCTTATAGGTGACAGCGTAAAGAACACCAATGTTGACAAGAAGATGTTTCTTTTGGAAGTTGTTGGAGGGGCAATTTTTATGCTACTTGTTCTGCTATGCCTCCTTTTATACTATTGCAGGTAAAATGTCTCATTTTTATAGTTAATTATAACTATAGAGTGGTCAGCGTAAATGACAAAAGTGGAAGTAAAAGAAACCAAATTATTTTCTATCAGGTCTTTCTTTTGTATATTTTAGCAAACCTTCCATGTATTCATAATTTCGATAACTGAACCAGTATCTTTGGATTCTTACTAGTGTAAACAGGCTCCCTGAAGATTTTATGTGAGTTGCCCACAAATCTCTGCCATCAAAATATGTTGTATTACTAGTCTCACATTGCTATGACACTAGATGGAGGAAAATTCTTTATGTGGATCTAAGTTTATTTTAACAATTTATTATATTGTATTGTATATTATATAGCACATAATATACTGAATTTTATCATATTCAGTACTTTCAGAACTGATGGTCTTATCCTGAATATCTTTTAAGAAATGTGATACTACTACAAATGTTAGTAACAGAAAACAAACAAAAATAGGATGGGTGATGCAACACATGCTAATTTTTCCAATTGGTTGTGGAACAAGCCCCATTATAGAGTAATCTAATTCAGACTTGAAGGTATCAACTATATAGTTTATGAAACTGCAGCATTTATAAAACTGAAGAAAAGTATTTTTTTTCTCATTTTAGCACAGTATATAATTATATGACATCTGCTAAAACAGAAGAGTTAAATCAAGAATAGTAACATTTTTTTCTTTCTTTCCTACATTTCTTTCAGTAAAACTAGCTTATTGTTGAAATCCTATTAAATCTATTACCTGCTAAAAATAATTTTAACAGAACGAATTATAAAGCTGACTTTCTTCTATTATAGTATCTCTTTTTTATTTCATGAGTTTCAGTATTGATCTCCACAGTTGAAATATCTAATGTAACACACCAAGGTTTTTGAAGGAAAACAGAAAAATAAGATGTTGGTAAGCCTGAAAAAAGAGTGTTGAAAAAGAAAAAGAAAGGGTGGCAAAAAGAAGAATTTCCTTTGAGGATCGAGCAACAGAATATTCAGTTTAGGTTGCAAAATAAAATCAGGTTTTAATTTGCTTGAGCCTCTTACAACTTTCAGTAGCTTTCTTTACCTGAGCACTCTCCACTTAAGAGTGGAGCACAATTCCTGTAACTTCCACCTATCCATCTTCGGCAGCCAGGTTTATGATAATTGGGTATACAGGTGTTTGAATACCTAAGTATTCACCAGACCATTCTTTTGCTGCAAGTCTCTCTAAAATTATTTTTTTCTATTCCTTTTTTTTTTAATTTAGGAGAAAGTGTTCAAAGCCCCATCAATTATTTAAAAAACTATGTTTACCCTCAAGAGTCAGACGTGCTAACAAGGATCAATCAACTTCTACGTCCTGTGTCAGTTCAGTAGTTTCCCGATGTAAATCAGAATTTTCCGATGGCAACAGGCATCCAGAATCTTCTGGCGACAGGGAAATAGTGACAGCGGATGTTCATGTGAACCAAGTATGTGCTGTAGGAGAAGCAGATATGCATACTCCTGCGCTCCAACATACTTACAGCAGCTCACAGGAATTTAGTCCCAGAGAGGAATCGCTTTCCTGTAAGGAAAATGACCATAGCTATGCGTCTTTAGAGAGTTTGGCATCTTTTTTAAGAAACTCAACAAAGTCTCTAGAAAAGACAGAAAGGTATGGTTCTCCTGATAAAGAAGACCATAGACACAGTTTTAGTACAAGGTCTTTATTTGAGAAGGAAGAGCAAACAAAGTTCCAATTTGAATTATTTAGCCCACATTCCCAACAACAGGTGCAGCCACAACACCTGGCTGCTCAAGCAATATCCCAGCAACATTTGCAAGAAGCTGGTACAGGTGACTGGAAACCCCAGGACATTGTAATGTCTGTATCAGTATCCATTCAAGCATCCCTCAGTGATGAGCTTCTTACTAAGAAAGGTCTAACAGAAGTAGATAGAAGAAAGCCTCTACCTCATCCTCAAGCATGGTTTGTTTCTTTAGATGGACATTCCAAAACCGTTAGACATTCCTTCACTGATCTTCAACCAGGTGGAAGGAATGGAGTTAACAACAGCCTCGATTATGGAGATGACATGGATGAGCTAAAATGGCAAGGGCAGGTGTATCCGCAGAAAGATTTGGATGAAATGGACCAAAGTGTCAGTGAACGTGGAACTGCAGTTTGTAGTCCTGAAGATAATAATCCAAGATGTGTGTTGAAGGGAGGGAGAAGAAGGGGTAGCCAATTGCCCAGCCTGCAGCAGGAAACAATAAAGAGAAGTGTAGAAAGTCCACCAGAGCCTTTACCAAGTACAGAACATAAAATCACTGGACACCATGGAGCAGATAGTGATGGCAATGACAGTCATGATGGTAGTCATCAAAGGGCAAGTAAAAAGACCTCTTGGCAAAAGCGAGAGGAAAGACCAGTCCTGAGATTCAATCTGAAGTAACATATGCTAAATATTTTTTGCCAAGATAATATATCATTGGAATTTTTTTTAATTAACAGAAAAAAGAAAAAGATGAAGTAATCTTTTGGGTGAGTTGCAACTGAAAAGATAGTCAAGATATTTCTTTCTTTGGTATCTATCTGAAGAGACTTTTGTGAAACCAAACCAATTTTTTAAAATCAGCTTTGATTCCTTCAGTTACTATTCTAAGTGCCTATTTTACAAGATCAATGAACAGTTTCTTCTTTTGCAAGCAACTTGAATAATCAGATTTTTTTAACAGAAAAAAAATTCTGACATCATATCTGTTCTTTAATTTTATGCTATCAAATGTTTCTGCTGAATGATTTTTTTATTTCAAAACAATATATTTACTAATTTTGGTATGTACTATGGGTTTTTACTTAGCAAGAGTAGATGATAAGATATTTTTGAAAAACTGCAAAGTAACCAAAATAGTTTCACTGATTGTATATATGTATATAGTTTCAAATAACATGGATTTTGGACCAAGCAAGTAGACTGAATGTGTCCAGAAATGTCAAGCAGAGTTGTTATAAGCTATACAAAAGTGCCAGATAAATTTCTGTTTATTTTCTCTTTATCAAACTGCTTATCCAAATCTTATGTTCAAAAATAAAGTTTTTGAAAACTCATGATTTTTTAAAATTCCTTTTTGAAATCACAGCATTATTACTGAGAAAGAAAATACTGAGTATGTAATAAGTGAGAGTTATATTTAATTTGTCCATATCCTATGATAAATATTCATAGAATAAATATGACTGACTGACTGACTGAATGAATGAATAAATGAATTAATGGTCATACAATGCAAGGTAGGAGATTGTATGATTAATTATCTTTGACATTTGCTTGTCCCTACTTTTTCCTGCAATTTTCCATAAAATTAACATTTTCAGCTTCCCTGGTTGCAAGAACACTATTCTGTGTCTTGAAGTACATGTAGTCCTCGACTTACAACAATTCATTTAGTGACCATTCAAAGTTACAACGGCTTACAATTACCATTTTTCACACTTGCAATCATTGCAGCATCTCCATGGTCACATGATCAACATTCAGATCCTAGGCAACTGACTCATATTTACAACAGCATCCTGGGATCATGTTATCCGCTTTTGCAACCTTCTTACAAGCAAAGTCAATGGTGAAGCCAGATTCACTTAACAACCATGTTACTAACTTAATAACTGCAGAAATTCACTTAACAACTGTGTCAAGAAAAGTCATAAAATGGGGCAAAATTCACTTAACAAATGTTTTATTTTGCAACATAAATTTTGGGTTCAATTGTGGTCATAAGTCAAGGACTACCTATACCTAGTCCAAAGTAGAAAGTAATCACCTAAAAGAAATTTCACTAGGTATACTATTTTGTGGGTATGTTTAGCACATTGTCCATGTAAGAAAATATGGCTTCTTTTAGATCAGTTCTAATCGGGGTGAACTTACCAGGTGGGTACAGTGGAATCTATAGGGTTTAAAAGCAAAAGAGAAAACCCATTGTATGATGATTACAGATAGTGCGATCTCCAGATGTGAATCAACCATTAAAGGAAAGGCTGACCCTGAATTGATGCTGCCTGTCAAGTTAGAACCAATCAAAGTTCTTGGCCCTCTCTATTCCTTGGAACTAAGGCAAACTTATGCTCTTTTTAAAGGGTTTAACTAACACATCCTGATCAATCACAGTGAGGATTAATCTACAGCAATTAATGGAAATCTTATAGTAAATAATGTCAGGCTTTTGTTGTGCTTCAAGAGAACAGGAGGATCTGTTCCAGATGTCCACTTTGGATACTTTACAGTGCTCACTATATTTAGTAGGGAATTAGTAATGTTTTTCTCAAAATAAGAACTTCCGTGGACTTCCAGGAATTCCATATACAAAATAGAATTGTATCTGCTTTCCTGCATTTGTAGTCTTGGCTTCCTATTCCCATTACCTTCTGCTGCCTGTGGGGTACCCCAGGGCTCTGTTTTAGGCCCAGCACTCTTCAACATCTTCGTCAATTATTTGGATGAGGGGATAGATGGGGAACTCATCAAATTTGCAGATGACACCAACCTAGTAGAAATAGCCAACACTCCAGAAGATAGGCTTAAGATCCTGAAAAATCTTGAACATTGGGCACTATCTAACAAAATGAAATTCAATGGCGAAAAAAATAAGGCTCTACATTTAGGAAAGAAAAACAAAATGCACAGGTACAATATATATGGTACCTTGCTCAATAGTGGTGACTGTGAGAGGGATCTTGGAGTTCTAGTGGACAGTCATTTAAATATGAGCCAGCAGTGTGCTGCAGCCGCCAAAACAGCCAACACAGTTCTAGGCTGCATAAACAGCATAGAATCAAGATCACGGGAAGTGTTAATACCACTTTATAAAGCCTTGGTAAGGCCACACTTGGAATATTGCATTCAGTTTTGGTCGCCATGGTATAAAAAAGATGTTGAGACTCTAGAAAGAGAGAAGAGCAACGAAGATGATTAGGGGACTGGAGGCTAAAACATAAAGTTTAATTGCTGAAACTGGATATGTCCGGTTTGATGAAAAGAAGGACTAGGGTTGACATAATAGCAGTATTCAATATCTCAGGGGCTGCCACAAAGAAGGAGTCAAGCTATTCTCCAAAGCACCTGAGGACAGGACAAGAAGCAATGGCTGGAAACTAATCAAGGAAAGAAGCAGCTTAGAACTAAGGATAAATTTTCTGACAGAACAATTAATCAGTGGAACAATTTGCCTCCAGAAGTTGTAAATGCTCCAACAATGGAAGTTTTAAAGAAGATATTAGGTAAGCATTTGTCTGAAATGGTATAGGGTTACCTGCCTAAGCAGGGGGTTGGACTAGAAGACCTCCAAGGTCCCTTCCAACTCTGTTATTCTATGTGGTTATAGCAAAAGCCAAATTTTGTGGCAGATGAAAAAAACATAGAAAGAAAAAGTCTGAAAATACTTTTTAGTGGGTAAATAAAAACAAAGTCAGACAGAACTAATTCCCTGGTAGCTAGAGAGAATGGCTCCACTGTGAAGTTTCCTTGCCTAGATCTGTACATGGCTGTTAATCACAAAGCAAAAAGACTTCTGAACATTTATGGACTGAGGGATTAAATGCCTATAACATCATAAATACTGCAAATCTGAACCGGCTGCTCTTTTTTTCACTCCATCCCATGGCTCCTTCTCCAGGGAGCATTTGACTGCTTCTAGGTTGTCTTTCTGACTCAGCTGCTGGCAGGGACCACCATAGTTGCATTTAACTAAAACTCCAGACCTTTTCTTTGCCTCTTGGCAATCTTCCTCATAGCCACCATAGGCCAAGGTTACTGCTCAGTAAACAGTGACATCTGCTCCATTGTACTTTCATGGACTATTATTTGAAATGAAGCCATTGGCAAAGAGAATGTAATTACTGTATGCAAATGGACCACTTCTCATGAATAAAACAGGTCCCGGTTTAGTTAAGGCAGCAAGCTAAAAGCTAGGAGACCCTGAGTTCTAGCCCTGCCTTGTGCATGAGAAACCAGCTGCCTTTGGGCCAATCAATCACTCTTAGCCAAAATCACCTCACAGGTTGGAGAAAATTGGAGAAAAGTCTGTTGGATATATTAGCTGTCTTGAGTTATTTCTTAAAATAATAAAGATGGGATAGAAATATTTGTCACCTTGAGTTATTTGAAAACAATAACAAAGGTGGGATAAAAATAAAAAAGCATGATCCTAATTTAAGACATCCAAATTTGGATAGAGAAATTGTGGGATGTTTTTCACGTCATTGAAGTAAGTATGGAAGACTGGTGATAAAAGGCTCTATTTTCCAAAATACTGAATTTAGGGACAGAGTAAAGAATTTATTAGTATTTAATTTTCTTATTTATTTTATATATGCTCCCTCCAGGCTCATACAAATTCAAAACAGATTAATACTGTCATAAACCATAATTTGCAATATATGCTTTTTTTCCAGCAAAGAAAGGGATAATGTCATTTTAGAATACAGATATATAATAACATATCACTGAACAGATATTGAGGTTCTAAAATAACAGGGTTTTTAAAAAAAATTCAGAACCATAAAAATGCATCTAAAAACAATTAATAGGAAAACATAACTTCTTATCTGAATGTAAATGAAATATTGAATTTTTGCGTTGGTCCCACTCATTTTGGAAAATAAATGCAATACTTAAATGCTAAATGTGTTCCTCAGCCCGAAAGAAGCCCTGCATACTAAGTTAAAAAGATAGGTGGGATTCTACTAAAATTGGAAATACAGAACAAAAAACACCTTTCATACAAGCAACATTGCACATAAGGGATAAAGTTTGCATCATGATACTGCAATACATCTCTCTCTCATTTTCTTTCACATGCTCACCAGGGGTGAAATTCAAAATTTTTCCCTACTGGCTCTGTGGGCATGGCTATGGGTGTGGCTTGCTATACTTGGTATAATAGTAATAGCAACTGGGGCGATTTTTTACCAATTCAAATTGTCCCTACCACCTCTCCCGAGGTGGGCTGAGGTGGTTGAATTTTACCCGATGCTCACGCACATACATAGAAATTACCCAGGACTAGGGATATGTCATTTCTAGGGAAATGTTTTCCCTTGAAAGTAATCTTTCCCATAATGTTTTCCCTTGAAAGTAATCTTTCCCATAATTGTTGGAATTACTCTATTCAGAATGTCCCAAAGGTGCTTTTTCAAGAGGCAACTGGATTTTCTGGTTTTTCTTTGAAGACGTTTAACTTCTCATACAAGAGCTGAAGAAACTTCTTGAATGAGAAGTGAAACATCTTCAAAGAAAAACCAGAAAGTCCCATTGTCTATTGAAAAAGCACCTTTGGGACAACCATGATCTGGATGACTGAGAATCTCCATAGACACTCTATTCAGAACTTTAAAGATGGCAACCTGAAACAACTCAAACTTTGGAGAGGAACAGCCTCTGGTCCCTATGTTTCTTACCATTGGCCTTCACAAACTATCATCCAGATTCATTGTACCATTTTATTAACTACAACAAGGGTCTTCAAACTTGGCAAGTTTAAGACTTGTGGATTTCAACTCCCAGAATTTCTGAGCTAAATGACTGGAGGAGGAATTCTGGCAGTTGAAGTCCACAAGTCTTAAAGCTGTCAAGTTTGAAAACCCCTGAATTACAGCATATGTGCTATTGCTTTCCTAAAGCTGCCTGCCTCGAGACCTCTACTGAATTTTAAATATTCCAGTATTTTTAAAGGCCTGTGCCAAAAAATTGAAAATATATTCCTAATCACAATTGGCTAAACTAGCTATATACATGTGAGAACTTAGTAAACTACTTGTTTAATTAATAATCAGGTTTTGGCTGTTTCTTCCAAAAGATCTTTTTCTTATTCTGAAAATAAATCTTATTTACTAAAAATTGGAAAGTAACACTTGGAGGTATAATGCCACTGGGACAAATATTTTTTTAAAAAACTTGCATGCCATTCTTACTCTGCTCTTCTATAATATCATCATGATAGTGACTTTCCATTCTCCATCATCTTCTTGGCCTAAATAGTCAGTACACCACTGCTGCCCACCACTTAAGATTAGCAGAATTGTAGATTTCTGTTGTTTGACAACCAGTAAACAGTTTTGCACGATGTTAGCTGACAATTGTAGAACCTGTAGCCATGTAAAACCTTAGTTCTCAGCTAACCAGGCAGAGCAGGAGCTATGATCCCATCAGAAGCCAATAGGTCAAAGGCCAATGAAAGAGCAAAGGTTTCCAGTACCCTTTAGCATTAGACGAAAAATATTTCTCATGTTACAGAGCAAAGCAACATTATGATCAGCAAACTTGCCGTTTACAATTATTTTTTAAAAGAGAATACATTAGAATGCCCTTTGTGAATGCATAAAAGTTTCAGGTGCATTTGGGGGGGGGGGAATAACTTTTTTTAAAAAAAATGATAGCATCCTTTCAAATTAACTAAATTTCAAACAAAATGCTGATGCAAACATTTCTTTTTTATTACCCATTATTTGTTGGAAATAAGATCAATTTTGCTATGCTGACAATTGTTCTTTAAAACATATCGATCAAGTTCTCATTTATTCCTTTGCCTATTAATTTGAATAACTTACACAAAGATGTTGGACAACATTTCAGGGCAAAACGACTCCCCCACCGCCTTGACAAGGGAGTCTTCGAAGAGTTGCTTCTGTGGGTTGCCATCTGCTATTTGGGATTTCCTCCGCTGCGTCCCACGAAAAAGTGCGCTGCTAATACGCGGCCAGAGCAGGGAAAAACGAAGCTCCGCCACGTTACACGGTTCCGAAGTCCGTTCCGGCCGCTTTCACTTGGCAAGACAAGCTGCTCAACCCTAACGCGGTTGCCGGGCTTGAGCTTGGCGTGCACGGACCCAGCCCCTCAGGGCGCCTCATTCAGCAGCCCCGCTTCAAGGGTCGTTGCTTGAGGGGCCTGGCATCGCCGCCCCCTCTCGCTCCTCTAACTTACCTCAACGGGCTGTTCGGCGGATATAACTGCAGGGGCGGAGCAGCGCCCACGGGGAGCCTGTCGGAAGAGCCGGCAAGCGATGGCATTCACTGAAGAGCCATCGCTACCCGCCGTCCAAGATCCAGCTCCTCGGAGGAGCAGGTGGGCATCGGGGCAATCTCTATCTGCGCGGGATGAACCTCACCCTGGCAACATCCGAAGGAGTCGACCGCTAGGCGGCGCTGCTCCGGCGGCTGCGGCCTATCTGCCTGCGCGTCGGACCGGCTGCATTTCATAGGCTCCTGCCGGAGAGTCCCTCCTCCCCTCCCACCCACCTTCTCCCCGTGATGGCGGAGGACAGCGAGTCTGCCGCCAGTCAGCAAAGCCTCGAGCTGGACGATCAGGACACCTGCGGCATCGACGGCGACAATGAGGAGGAGACGGAGCACTCCAAAGGGTAGGGTGTTGGCGGGTGCGCCCGCAGGGGCCACTGCCGCCCTTCCGATGCTCCTGCCCGCCCCGGGGTTGCCCAGGAGCTGCAGCGCGTTGCACAAGCGCGCGCGGTCGGCCCGGCCGGGTCGTGAACTAGGTTGGGGGCAGCCAGCCCATCCCCGGAGCCGATCTCCTGCCGCAGGGACGGAGGCAGTCGCACCAACCCAGGAAGGGGAGGTGGAGGCCACGCGGGGCACCGAGCAGCGTTCCGGGCTGCGGCTTGACTGCGAGGTGGGAGAGAAGAGCTGCTCCCCTTCGCTGCGGAGAAGGAGGAGGAGGAGGAGGAAGAAGGCCCAGTCGGCAGGCTGTTTTTCGCCGCGGGGGAGAGGCTTTCTGGTCGGCGCGTGTTGTGGACACCCGCAGACTATAGCGCAGCGCCCTTCCCTTGCTGCCGGGACCCAGGCTTTGGCCTGTGGGCTTCCCCCGACGGCTGTCTGCTACGGTTTCCGTGCCACGCCAGGCTTCCCCTTCGCTCTCTTTCCTTTTGTGACCACCTCCCATCCTTCGTAGCCTCCCGCAAGGCAGGCAAGAAGCGCCCGCGTCGTTTTCCCTTCGGGCGGGGGCGGGACCGGGGGGGCGGCTTTCAGCACTGTGGGGGCGGCTGGCTCACTCGGAATCCCGGGGTGGGCGGGAGGCTGGATCAGAGATCGATCAGTGGGCATCCGAGGACTGGAGTGCGGGGCACGTGCGCCTTCTGCACAGGATCGGGGCCGGCATTTGGACTTGCAGGTTTCCTCCGAGTGCCCTGCTCTTTGTGACATATGCTCCGATGAAGCGACCGACCATTTTTGGTAAATGTTCTTCTTGGTCTGATCTATAAGGGAGTTTTTTCTTTCTTTCTGTCGTTTTTATGCCTTTTTGCTGCCAGCCATCTCCTTCTGTACCTTTTAGGATCTCCCCCCCCCCCCCCCCAAAAAAAAAGAATATAGAGCAGAATAAAAGCATAAATAAATACGGTAATCACATCTTTGGGAATGGGTGTTATGTGCATGATTTCACTGTGGGATCCAACTTTAAATTTTTGAATGCCAAGGCTTGACTGGAGGGTCAAGCAAATAGGAGGAGTTCATTTTCCACAGCCAGCCAGCCTATAGTGGAATATTTTAGAAGACAAAATTTGCAGACACCTTTTTCCTCAAGTCTTGTGTTAAATGTGGTACATAGATAAATATTCAGAATATTTGAGTGATGTGTTCTAGCTGCAAGAGTAGGTTAAAATTTAGTTTGTTTGATTGCTATTTGGGATCTTGTGTGAGTCTACTATTGCAACTTGCAAATTATTTATAGGCATGTTTATTTTAGTTTAATTTTATTGTCATTGCAACTCGTACAAATTAAATACCATCTTCAATGTATATGAAAATATGACTATGAAAATAAACATAAACACACATCCTTCACATTCTATACATTGAATCGAAAAACCCTGATATCATTAATATTGCACTATACAGTAGAATTCAGTAGAGTTACTGCCCTGGAATAGAAGCTGTTTTTCAGCCTATTTGTCCTTGTTTTTATTATTGTGTACTGTCTGCGAGATAGTAATAGTTCAAAAAAAGGTTGCCCAGGATGAGATGGATCTTTGAGAATACTTTGAACTTTTTTAAGGCAGCGGGAGCTATAAAGCTCTTCCAAAGACAACCAATGAATGATCTTCTGGGCAATGACGTTAACCTCCGGAGTGCTGTCCTATCTGCCACTGTGCAATAGGCAAACCATACAGAGGTGCAATAAGTTAAGATACTCTGTATGGTGCAGCGGTAAAAGATTACCAGCAGTTTTTCATTCAGTTGTTGTTTTCTGAGAAGGTAATATAATCTCTGCTGGGCCCTTTTGACTAGTGCTGCAATGTGGGCACCCCAGGTCAGGTCCTCTTTTAGGGTAACACCCAGAAACTTAAAACTGGCCACTTGCTCCATTGATAAGCAAGGTCAGAACAGATCAAATGTTTGATCTGTTCCTTCTATAGTCCACTATAAGCTCCTTGGTCTTATTGATGTTGAGGACCAAGTTACTGTCTCCACACCACGAAAGCAACTGGTCCACCTCATCTCGGTAGGCAGACTCATCACCCCCAGAGATGGGAATGCAGTCATGCACATAAAGAGTATAGAATAAGGGACTCAACACGCAACCCTGTGGTGTACCAGTTGTAAGAATAGGGGCTGAAGAGGTATGATTACTAATCTGTGAGTGGCCAGACAGGAAATCCATAATCCAAAGGCAGATTGAATAAAAAAGTCCAAGATCCAGTGTTATGTAAAATGAAACAATTATTTAACAAGCCATGGTTAAGTAAACAAATGTTTAGAAATGTGCACAAACCAAAGCGCAATCACCAGCAGACTTCAGATTACTCTGAAGCCATACCAAACATGATACAGCTTTGCACATTTATAAACTAGACGCTGTTTAGTAATATGGTTTAGGGCAGAATATATTCTGAATATATTCTGTTGTGCAAGCTGTGGCTCAGTATATGTTTAGTAAGCCATTGATAAGTATTTTTTTCAAGTAGATAAGTCTCTTAGAACAAAGAGACTATGTGCACTGCTTCCATTAAAGAAATCATCTATCTATCTATCTATCTATCTATCTATCTATCTATCTATCTATCTATCTATCATTCAGCGATTTTAATGGAAAACCCAGATGTTATATTGATGTTCGTAAATTTCCCATGTTTTCTCAATGTGTTGGTCTTTTTTACCTGGAGAAACAATTGAGCAATTTGACTGTCGGGACTAGGATCTTTCCTCTGATCAAGTTCCTCTTCAGAGATCTTATGATGTGAGGATTGAATTCAGGTTCTATTGAAGCTAATCCAAAGTCTTAAAACAGGGGAACTGTATTAGGGCACTGAAGCAAAAAGGCAGTGTTTTGCTTTGACTAGGAGGTTTTGCAAATTCAGCCATTGTGGTTTCATTGATTGTAAGCCCTATAATCATATGGAAAATAATTGTAGCTTTAAATGTTGCTATTTAACTTTTAGCATGAGCATAGAAACCTTTACAAGCAAAACCAAATATTTCTATATTCGGACACCACACTGAATTATAAAAGTCAGACATATTCTATCGTAATTTATTGTGAAGATTTAGTCCTTGATTAATATATAGTTCAGTGTCGTCATAAAAACTCAGAAAATGGAAATACCTGAGTAAATTGTAATTAATTCAACCATGGACAAACACATTATTGAAATATTACCACTCATTTAAGGCTATGTGCTATAAAAAATGGCTACAATACTCCAAGACCATATTGTAGTATAAAGTCTTTTTGTATTAGAAGCACATGACCTGTCCCTGAGCTAATTTGCCCCAATCTTGTATATTCCAGGTATGTTGGGATCCAATGCTTGGTAAGACTAAGAAATCTAGGAATTGTAGACTGGCACATCTGTTTAACTGCTTAGAGCCTCCAGGAATAGGCAGCATGCCAGTGTTGTAGACAAAGAAATAAACAAGGCAGCACTGCATCCATTCTGTGTTTATAAGTTAATTGTGTTCAGTATGAATGATATGAAGCATTTTAGAAAATGACTATTAATTAAAAATATCTCATTCGGTAACTTACAAAACAATACATGACAATTATTTATAGTTTTTCTTTTTTAAATCAGACACTCCTTTGATATGTGATGAATGTTTTTCTTATCCGCATAGCATTGGCTTGTCCAGACCCTGGTATCACTTAAGGAAACGTCTACAATAGTGTGAGAAATGTTTCTAAAATTAAAAGCATTATGTATACAAGCAATCTGAAGAAGTAGGAAACAAGTTTGACTTGATGCTTAGCCAATTTGCAGTGGTTATACTTTTGCTTTGCTTTTGAAATAAGATTTTATATGATTATATTGCTTTGTATTGTGTTGAATAATAATAATAATAGTACTCTTTGGATCCTTGTAACCAATTCCTACGCAAATTGCATTCGAAGTAGAAAAACTGTCAGATGGTACCATTTCACTGAAATAGAATGTTTTTGTCATATAGGTAGAATAGTCCCCAACCTTTCCGGCTTTGTGGATTAGCAGCAGGGGCAGTAGTGGTGGGGACAGGATAGTTTCACAGGCGCACCCACTGCTTGCACAATGGAGCTTTGAGTGCTTCTGCACTTGCCATCTGTGTGTGTGTGCAGCTTGATTCCCAATGGGTCGCAGTCTTGTACCGGGTCATGGACCAGAGGCTGGAGACAGTTAATATGGGTTATACATCTGAAATGTCTTATATTTTCTTTCTTTCTTACAACCTGACTGCAACAATCCATGATAACAATAATACAACTTAAAAAGGCCATGTTCCAAAAGATTGAGGGAAATGGAAGACATTAAGCCTTATTTATGGCATCCGTCTCCTTTGTCCTCCAAACCCATTAAACGCCTTTAGATATATTTTTGGTGCTACATGTCTATTCACAAGAATGCATGTCCTAGGATTTGAGACTGTCTGTTATTTAATTTATTTTGGATTCAAATGAATCATTGTCTCTGCAACCTGGAATACTGCAACCAATTTTGGTCATCATAATACAAAAAAGATGTTGAGACTTTGGAAAAAGTTCAGAGAAGAGCAGCTAAGAGGATCAAAAGCCTGGATACTAAAACATATGAAGAACAGCTGCAGGATTTGGATTTAGCTAGTCTAAAGAAAATAAGAATTAGGGGTGACATGATAGCAGCATTCCAATATTTGAGGGGCTGCCAGAAAGAAGAAGGGGTCAAATTATTCTACAAAGCACCATTGGACAGGACAAGAAACAAAAGTTGGAAATTAATCAAAGAGCCATGGTGGCGCAGTGATTAGAATGTAGTACTACAGGGCTACTTCTGCTGACTGCCGGCTGCCTGCAATTTGGCAGTTCGAATCTCACCAGGCTCAAGGTTGACTCAGCTTTCCATCCTTCCAAGGTGGATAAAATGAGGACCTAGATTATTAAAAGCAATATGCTGACTCTGCA